AAGTTCTTTTTCTTCATTCATTAATTTTAAAAGGTGTGGAGCCTTCAGAGCTGGGATGCCATTGTTGTGTAATAAATAACCGACTTTTATTTCTAGTCAAGAAACAGTTTAAATTTCAAAAAAAGTTTTCCGCGACTCTGATGTCTCCAAGTCGAATTCTTTAGTAATTGTTTTATGTAGTACATTTTTGTTATTTAATTGAATAGGTTTCAAACTTTTTTTAGCGATTTCATGTCCAGCTGATGATCCTGCCTTGAATCCTTTACATGGTGAAGCTTTGTGCAGTTCTCCAGACTACGAATACAAAACGATGTGCTCTACAAGCTGTAAAAGTGGTTATACCCCACTTGACAGAACAACGATTGAATGCCAGGCAAATAAAATGTGGTCAAACTCTTTAAAGGGATGTACAGGTATATAAATATTAGGTTTGAACAAAATTTAGTTAATTATATTTTACTTTTGTCTTTCAAAAATTGATTCTTTGTCATGCATTAACTATTATTCGTCATGTTAACAGATCATATCTTGTTTTATCGTTATAATATAATTTAAATGATGATTGACACTTGAACCAAAATGTGTATGGAGTTAGTAAAATAGGGAAGGTTTTAAAATACCAACTTTCTATTCTTCCTTTTTATTAGTATATCAAAAATATTGATTTTTTACGCGCCTGGATCGATAGATCTGGGGCGTATATAGTTTTTGTCCTGTCTGTTTCTCTGTCAGTCTGTTGTCAACTTTAACCTTCGCCAAACCTTTTGAACCATAAGAGATAGAGACTTCATATTTGGAATACATACTCCACTAATAAAGTTCTTTCAAACGACATTAAGGTCAATGACCTTGTGACCTTGACTGTGACCTATATACTAAAATAGCTTTTTCCACTTTTTGCCATTACTTTTGAACCGTATGAGATAGGGATTTCATATTAAGTATGCATACTCCACTAATAAATTCTTTCAAACAACACCAAGGCCAATGACCTTCTGACCTTGACTGTGACCTATATACTAAAAATAGCTTTTTAAACTTTGTTGACGCCGGGCGCATAGTGTTTCACAAACACATCTTGTTTTTCATTAAGCTGGTTATTAAGTGTATGTCGTGTTAGACCGAACAAATGATATTCCCATAACTCTCTTTAGATAACGAAAAACCCATTGTGAATGATTGCCCTGCAGACATATATAGATATGCTGAAAGAAATAGCCAACCAACTAGGGTCTCCTGGACAGTACCCACTGCTGTTGATAACTCAGGAGAAGCCACTATCACACAAATAGAAGGCAAAGCACCAGGATCTTTGTTTTCCCCTGGAACTCATAAAATTGTCTACACCGCCTCTGACGCAAATGGAAATGAGTCCCCAAATTGCACATTTCATATAAATGTTCAAGGTTATTTTTTCTTTATAAGTAACAATTCAGATTTAAACATTACTTAATAAAGATGCAATATCGATATGTACAACACGGTACATTGTATTATAAACTGTATGTCATTCTGAAAAATACATTATAGTGGAAAATATATAATTCGATGAATAAATAGTGAAACGTTCGACCGGCCGAGCAGTCTCTATATTCAAGCGGACACGTGCCCGGCTAAACCCGGGATTTCTGCAGTGCAATTATCTAGACAAATGATTTGTATGTTGTCCACTAAGACACAAACTTAATCAATATATTTACGATTATTATTCAAACAATTTACTTAATCTATATATTTGACGATTTGCAAAACAAAATCAAGGGTCAGTTTGACTCCGGACCACTTGTCTTATCCCTAACCAATGTCCCTGAATAACTGGCCCAACCAAGAGTCCAGGTTACTAGACAAAAGTCTCTAGTCAACTGGCGTCTCCAGTTCACTTTGGCATTAGGGTATATCCTTTATTTCCAATGCCAAAGCTACAGTGGTCGACCAGTTGACGCACCCTATACAATAAGACCTATTCTGCCCTAAAGTAACCTTATTTTGATTCGGCTAATTCAGCGTCGTCACTTATCCTCTTATCTGGCCACTTCTTAGATCAGTCTGCTGCAGCGAACGTAACTATACTGATTCTGAGATGGAATGAATGCATCTGCCAACACCCGCTATATATATAGCATAGAACTGGACTATTTCATTGTAGGGAGACAGGTTAGCCCATGTCAAGTAAAACCTAACATCCCTTGTAACACTAATTGGAATTATCCTGATTCATTACAATAGATAAGTCAATTCGTTAGGGAAAGATATTGAACCGGGAATTATCGCAAATTTTGCCTGAAAGTAAACACTTTGATGCATTGAGTGACGACACCTATATATGACGTCACTAAGATTCAATTTTATTTCAGTCAAATTCATAGGTGTCGTCACTCAATGCAAAATTTCGATTTTCTAATTACGGCATTTTCCATTTTTGTGTTTTGTGCAACCTTTCAGTGCATTTTTTCGCCAATTTTGCAAAATCCATCAAGGAATCTGCAGCTGCCTTTTTTAATAAGCCCTCCCACTTTCTCAAATGTGAAGCCGAAAATATGGAATGTTTCCAACAAAGAGAGAGAAGCTGTAAGTAGAAAACGGGCAAAAAAGTTGTACGTATTGAACCAATGAAGTATGCAGAAGACCTATGCAAAACATTATTAAATTAGTCATTGTGAGTTTCGGCAATCTGTCTAATGATCTTTAAATAAAGACATGTAGGATAAAAAAGTGTGCGCCATCGAACGATATTCATGTATCGTCTGCGTAAGGAACACATGTATATTACAGTGTAAAAATTATTTTTCTTTCTTTGCTTTTTCCCTTTAGGTTAAAAATATTAAAAACGCATTTCGACAATCGAACCTGGCTATAGACCCTTTCACGATAAAAACGATATTGCTCCTTTGCATGGCAATTTATATATTGTGGTGAAATATGACGTTAAAGTAATTGCATGTTTAAGGTAGGTCGTGGGTTTACTGCATAAAATTCTTACGAGAAAACATATCCTGAAAATTTGATAAAATGTTCCTCAGAATTTAAAGCGTATCATCTGCAATTTTTATTAAATTTGCCTTAGTAGTTTTAATGTTATAGTACTGTAAACGCGGTATAGTTTTTAACCCCTATTGACGCTTTTTCCATTGAACTACCATTGAAATATATGGAAAAAATGACTTTTTTAAAGCCAATTTTGTGAAAATACTTCCTTTTGAAAAGGTTGGATAACTTTTTAAAGACGCAGACGAATTATTCAGGAATTTCAAAATGTCAAGATGAGGTAAAATCTTAACCATAAATTTAAATAAATCAGTATGTCTTCTCAGTAGATTTTTTTGCTAAATAATTTCAAAGTTTTCTTTTGAAATGCTAAAATTTGGCGTTAATGGCGTTATTAATATCTACAACCTCATTTGTTGAACGTAGTCACATTTACAGTACGAGTATAAATATATTGACTTGTGGAATATGCAAGAATTAAAAGGTGATATCGATACAAAATTTGATTTTATTCATCATTTAATTTATTGCGGAGACATATTAGGATGACCAGCAACTTATTTTCACTAGTATTGTGAAATTCATATTCTGATCACAAAGTCAGAATGAACGGTATAAATAATCCTCGTGCAGCGACATTAACATGCAGCGACAATGTTCACCGCGAGTGAAAAAAATATTAGTACCTTTATTTTTAGGAAATGCATAGTCAATAGGATTTTAGGCATAAACAAAAATTTGATCACTTTATTTGAAAACGGTAGAAAAAACATCCCTATAAAGAGGAAATAAGTGGGCCAGGGGGAGGGGGGATACCTGCAATGTTCTTTCTATATTAGTAGCAAGCTATAGTATATGGCTCTAAATCTCACGCATTTTTTGATTTCGAATTTTCTGAATAAAATTTCAATGCACAAAATGTAAAACAATTGCATTAAGCTTTTACACGTTGAGTTTTGTCATAAAAAATATAGAAAAAATTATACTTGTAAATTGTTTACAGTGTTTTGTAAGTCTTAAATTCTATGTGTTTGAATAAATTTGATTTTTAAATGCATTTCACAATTTATTAGCAAGCAGAACAAGACGAGTGCACGAGATTTGAATACATAACAACAAACAAATATTAATAATGATTAATGATAATAAAAAAAACAAGAAAATACTTGTAAATAAATATATAACCCGTTTTTAGTGATGAGGATTAATTTCCATCCTTCGCCCCGGCTTTGATTTGAAGTCAAGTTCCCTTGAGTTTCAAATAACGTGCGCACATACATGTACAATCCCTTAAGTTTTTCGCTAAGCATTTTTATTCATGATAACTTTCTTTTGCAAGTCATAACTTTTACGCTGATTTATTTTGATTTACTTTTAGCAGTTAAGTTACACATAAAGTATAATTTATTGCTTTCATTTTGTATTGTATTTAATTAGTCCTAATTAGAAATGACATATAATCACACCAGATTTCAGACTGAAATTTAATTATAAAACATGTACAAGGTTTACGTACAAATGCTTTTTGTGATAAATCTACTTTTAGTGAAGTTTTAGTGAAGTCATTTGTAGAGAATTAAACGAGAAACAACGTTACGTTGCCTTTGTGACGTAACTGACGTCATAATCATATATGCTCAAAACAAATGCTCGAATCGTCAAAATTGTGTACCAAAATTGATGAAAAAACAAACCCGCGACCTACCTTAATATACGTCATTCAATTATTCAATTATCTAACACCCCGTGGGGATCCGGGTTAGAATAGGTCCTCAGTACCCCCTTGCTTGTCGTAAAAGGCGACTAAATGGTGCGGTCCTTCGGATGAGACCGTATAAACCGAGGCCCCGTGTCACAGCAGGTGTGGCACAATAAAGATCCCTCCCTGCTCAAAGGCCATAAGTGCCGAGCATAGGCCTAAATTTGCAGCCCTTCACCGGCAATGGTGACGTCTCCATATCAGTGAAATATTCTGGAGCAGGACGTAAAACATTATACAATCAATCAATCAATCAATTATCTATCAACAAAAACTTCGCCAAATATTATTGATTTGCCCCGCAAAAGAGTAGTATTGCAGTAATCGTGAAGGGGCTAATTCGCTAGACAAAATTGTTCCATTTTCAAATCAGACAGTGTCACCACTCAATGCAGTGGTGTTTCGGTCGAAATGTATTCTTTCAAGCGAGGTTTGCGATATTGTTCAGCAAAGAATGCAAATGACTATGTAATGTTCCCTCTTTAAAATAGATAAACTGCCTTTTCATAGTCTCGAGTTCTCAGGTTTTACAAAATTAATTTTACAAATTAGAATGTCTTTTCTGTCCTGATGATTTTTTCATTCAACTTTTGAATGCAGAATTTTGCTTTTCCCGTGTAGAACAGCTTAGCAATTTTGGTAAGATTTTTTGGTAAGACTTTTTGGCTATACTACGTATTAAGTTGTTACTCATGACGACATTTTCGGGCTTTTGATTATTTCATCACTAGAGTTGAGCTCAGATTATTTATTGTAATTTAAAGTTTTGTCCGGTTTCTGCCTGTCAGTCTGATCTTCCGTCTGTAACCTTTTCAGATTTTCGATTTATTTTCAAGAACCACGTGCACTAGGCTAATTTCGAAAAGCTTGCATCAAAACATTTTGGGTAAAGTAAGTAATATCTGTTTAAGTGTAAGACCATGCTTTCTTCAAATTGGAGATGATAAGGCTGTCCGAAGGCGTAAAATTTCTAAAAAATATACATTTTATTTTGAGCTAGATCAATTCATCGTGATCCATGGTACCTAAAACGTGCTTGGGGTTTAAAATTTTCGTCTTAAGAAAAAAAAAAGATAAATTAAAATTACCAACGTAAGAAGGGGTTTTCTCCACTCTTAATCGCGATTTGTACAAAAACAGATAAACTACATACGATCCCCCAGTAAAATTAAGTTTGAATACATACTTCTCTTTTAGATTCACACAGAATATCTTCAATTTATCCTTGTTCTTTTACTTGTGCTAGTCCAATATAAACACGATTCATAAATTCTAACCCGTCATGTCAGCTCAAGTATGCAGTGACTTGACGTCATTTTCTATTAGAGATGTTTCTGAATATGAATCGAATCCGAATCTAAAAATGAATCTGAATCGGAGAGATCCCGATTCGAAAACTGAAAAAAAAACTTTATAAAAAGAATATTTCCAAAATTCTGCTATTGAAAATGTCACTGTACATGTACCAATAAGGGAAATAAATTATAATGAATGATGTTTATATTTTTGTCATAGGATTGTTATTGTTTACTTATTAATTGGATTTTAAAGTCAAATTCTATAGACTGAATAACAAACAGGTATCCTTTCAATTCATGAGAAAACCTGCTCGTACAATATCATTGTTGTATTTTTCATTACCTTATATCCTCGCGAGTTCCT